ATGAATATGTATCGCGTAATATAACAATTACTGATAGTAATTACATTAATACAAACGAGCTTAGGCGCCAATAACCTGCCGAATAGTTGCCAAATATTCGGTATTCAGTATTCGGTCTTTAGAGAATGCCGAATACATATTATTATATTGTCTAGGGCCGAATATTCGGTATTCGGTCTTTAGAGGATGCCGAATATTCGGTATTCGAGAGACTTTAACAATAAGTATAAATTTTGTTTACATTCCTATGGGTTACGTACCAATGTTTATCCGTTAGACGGCGACGTGGCGCTTACGCGCTTCCTTATTTCGTCTCTGTGCATTTAAAGTAGTACGTTTGCTTTGAAAAAAGTTCAGAATTTTCAAAATATTTCAAAATAAAGAAAACTTTTTTTCCAAAAAAAAGTAAATTTTTGCCAAAAATTTATAATTTCCCAAAAATCTAATTTTTTCAAAGTAAATTTTTTTGAAAAATGTTAATCTTTTATAAAAAAATAATGTTTGGTATGGGAAGTTCCTGCAATTTGCCTTAAGGCACGAGGCCATGCGCCCCACTAGTTTTGAATTTAATTTTAATTTCAATGTTTCACACCCCATTTGGAATCTGAAGAATATTTATTTATTAAAAAGCGTTCAACACTAAAGTGTGATGATAAATTAGTTGATCTAGAACAACAGGACACGTAGTTAAGTTTAGGATGTATGTCTTGTTAACATTAAAGAACGGACACGGACGCAATAAGTGATAAAGTTGACAATCAATGTGTGACGTGGAAAGTTTCTTAAATTAAATAATATATACTTATTTTGATAAAATATATCAGGAGAAACACTTCTTGGTAATATTTTTAAATGTAATTTAATTTTTATCACCATGCCAATTCACTCAAAATGTCAATTAAACTATCTACAACACCTTTCAATTTCTGATCTCTATAAACAATATCTCCAAATAATAATATTTCAATTTTCTTCGCACAATTTAGGCACTTTGAACAAACAAAAACATAACAATAATCAAAATATCATTGAGTTTACAAATGTTATAATATACTGTCATCTTAGTGAGTAAGGGGTTATGTCAAATAGTGAAATTTAACAAAGCTTGGATTCAAATTTTATTAGCTTAAATTCTTGTGTAAAATCACTTGATTATTTTTGTTTTAATTTTATTTATTATTGTTTATTTTTTACAGCTAATTTTTTGAGGCAATTACTCTTAGAGAAAAAGTTAACAAATACCTAATAATTTTGAGCGAAATTTGATCTTATTTACTGAAATGATTTATATAAATTGATCTTTCAGCACAAAATGTCAATATCATATGTCCACTACTTGATCGCTTTACAAATCTTGGCGCTTTCGGCGAGTGCTTTTGGCATTCACAAACCCGAAGAAACAGCACATCATGCCCCAAGGCTTGTAAATCCGCTTTCAAAAGCTTCACATGGGGAAGGCGAAGAACATGATGCAAAATTCGATCATGATGCATTTCTAGGAGAAGATGAAGCTAAAACGTTTGATCAACTGCCTCCAGAAGAAAGCAGGAGGAGACTGGGGTAAGTCACATTATAAGATTTCAATTCGCTAGTTTTCTGCTGCTAAAACTGATTTTAATATTTTCTTGATATTTTGAAAATATTGAAGGTCTTATGGGTGATGTTTAAGTTATTCTTACTGTTTCTCTTTAGATTGATTGTGGACAAAATTGATCAAGATAAAGATGGTTTTATAACATTAGTGGAACTAAAAGACTGGATACGATATACTCAAAGACGTTATATTGCTGATGATGTTGAGCGTCAATGGAAACAACACAATCCCGAAAACAAACCCAGCTTAACTTGGGAGGTTTGTTGTTTATACTTTACTTACAATACTTTTGTGGAAGCGAGTTTACATGCTTCAATATGATAATGAATATATAATCAAAAGTAAAGCTCTTTACACTTAATTTTTACTATTGAAAACATGAAGTTTTCATATTCATATCTCATATTTGTTATCCAGAGATTTATGTGCTTTTTGATGTTTAGTAAAATGAAACTCCTGCATCTGCAGAACACAATAAAGCGAATTCAGTGTTTGATGGCTCATTGTATTTTCTAACTCTGAAAACTTATTAATAATATCTTTTTATATTAATCAAAAAACTTTTTTGCATCAATGCTAACTCATTTCCACATTAATTATTTTGATAGATTTCAAAGGTTCAAATAGATAATAATGAACAGAAATATACAATTTCTGAATATCTATAATTCCTATCATTAGTTCTTATTAAAAACTTATTCTGCAGTGGCAAATCTCTCAATTCTTTAACATTATCAATTATTCTTACTAATACTTATTATAGGAATATAAGAAAGAAACTTATGGATTCCTGGATGAAATGACAGAACAAGAATTAGAACAAGAAGAATCAGGCTACTCCTACAAAGCTATGATTAAGCGAGATCAACGAAGATGGGCCAATGCTGATTTAGATGATGATGGGGTTCTCGACAAAGCACAATTTACTGATTTTTTACATCCGGAAGAAAGTGAACGAATGAGAGATGTAGTTGTTTTAGAGACAATGGAAGACATTGATAAGGATAAGGTATTGCTTATAGTGTTTAGAAGAATAACATTTAATTTTAAAATTAATTCATAACGATTGCAACACAACATAAAAGTTGAAACATTTTATTATAGTTTTAAATAATGATTATACACCAAGCAATAAAACAAATAAAAATTATAATATATAAAATTATTTGATAATATAATAATTTATTTACTGAATATTTTATTTTTGTTTGACATTGTTGGTTCGCGATCTGTTCATAATAGTCAGTTTTAAGAAAACATGTCATTTTATTAAAAACAAATCAATTAATTAATAATTATATTTTTTAATAGGATGGAAAAATTTCATTGAAAGAATATATAGGTGATATGTTTAGAGGAGATATGGATTCAGATGAAGAAGAGGGTAAGGAGGAAGATGAACCAGAATGGGTAAAAAATGAAAGAGAACAGTTCAGCTTATACAGGTTATTACAATTTTTTTTATGACATTTTGCATCCTAGTTTTAAATAGAGTTGAATTTTGCAATCACTGACCATAAGCAATAGTTGGACTATTTAATTGAAAATATCTCAGGTTTCATTTAATGAGATGGAGGATAAAATTAGAAGAATACAATTATGAAATTATTTATAAGATTCGTAAAGCAAGCACAAATGCTGATGTGCTCAGTCGTATTTTTGTAGGGTCATTTTTGTGAAAACGCAACTATGTTTATATTTTCTGTCATTATAGATATTATTTAATAATATGTTAAAATTAACTACTTCAAAAATAAAAGAAATTGAATTGATAAGAAAATACTTCAAAATTGCATTTGAATTTATTATTGAATGAAAATAGATTTGATAAAAGTAATAATTTAAATTACAAGTCTGGTTTTAATACTCTGGAAATTCCAAACAAAACTTTTTTCACATTTTTTAAATATTTATTTCAGAGATAAAGATAAGGATGGTTTTATGGATTTAGAAGAAGTCAAAAATTGGATAATTCCTCCAGACTTCGACCATGCAGAAGCTGAGGCAAGGCATTTAATTTATGAAGCTGATGGTGATACAGATGAAAAATTGACCAAAGATGAAATATTAAATAAATATGACTTATTTGTGGGTTCACAAGCAACAGACTTCGGAGAAGCTTTAGCCAGGCACGATGAATTTTAGAATTCTAATGAGTAATTAGTGCATTTGAATTTAAATTTAGTTTGGTAAATACTGGATATGTTATTAAAAAATTATGAAAAACCAAATATTAAAATTTAAATTGTTGGATATTAGATTATAAGTGAGCTTGAATCTTGAACTAAATTTTATTTAATACTCAGTAACCACTGCCAAATATATGGAATTTTTTGAGTTAAGGATGCCATTTTTTAAAAAATAATTTTATATATTAAATTTATATATTTTATAAATAAAAATTGCTATAGTTTTGATAACTGTATCATTCTACAATTGCCTAATGTTTGTAGTTGTAATGATATGCCCAACTTCAATAAATTCAGCAAATGAGATAATTTATTTTGCAAAATTGTTTTACATAAATTCATTTATTTAATTATAAATGAGCATGTTATAAGCTTTGTAATTTTCATTTATATTAGCAAAAGCATATCATAGATGCTTCCATATTTTATGGATATAATTCATAACTTTGGTAATAATATAGAAAAAACTGCAAAGTTTAATATTATACTTAAAATTCAATGTATCTAAAACTAATCTGGTGTGATATAGGTGATGCTATACTATAAATGTAGCAAAAAGAAGCTGGTCACTATGAAAGATAACGATTAATGTTTGAAATATCAAATTCGTGATCTTATCACTATTTTGGATAAGATTTCTAAATTTGTTACCAGTTACGCACAAATTCATCATAGGTACTTATCCTGTCTAATAGCAAATACTAATGATTGCTATGATCTTAGAACATAACCATAACACAAAAATGTATCAATAGTAGTTTTAAATTACCGTATTTACCTAATCATATCTCTAAAACACCGTCTAATGCTGACTAAAACCTAGGAGTGCTTACTGCACTCTTATTTATTTATGACTTACCGTTTAAATCGTTCTCTGTATTAATAGAAGAAAACAGTAACAAATTGTGTTCTTACACTCTCCCAAAAGCTTCAATATAGTTATCGTTTTTTGAAAATGTAATTTAAATAGTTTCAATTACCATTTTTATACATCATATTTGCAAATATATGAATAAACAACAATTTCACTTATAACGAAATAATACTCGGTTATAACTGATACTTAGTCTTGACTTTTGACAACTTAACTTTATAATTAAAACTAAATTTAAAAATAAAACTTTAAAATTGTTACATTGTCAGCACATGTCTACGATTAAAACGGTAAAAACTTAAAAGCGGTAGCTGTCATCAGCTGTCATTTTGACAATCATCAGATTATGTTGGCTACCATGATTTAATCAATTTTTATGAAAGCTGCCTTGCATGTCGAATTCTCCATTATTGTCTAGGAACTTGTCATCTTGAAAACTTCATTACGTAACGGAATAAGTGAGTTATTTTATAAATTATGTGAATAAAATATATGTTTTGAATACTTCACAAATTAATATTTTTCAGAAATGGTTGGTGAACGCCCGATGAAATATCCTTACACCCTTTCCGCAAAAATTGCTCAGTTCCCCTTCAAATTTTACCTAAACAATAACGCACTGTGGAAATATTATTTTATTGCTGTTGCAGTGTCGATTCCAGTTTTTTATAAGATCCAAAAACTTTGTAAGTACTAACAAAAAAAAATTATTTGTATTTTTAATCATTTGTCTATAGCTGTTTTTAATTTGTAGCATATAGCCCTGAAAATGTTGCTAAATGGGCTGAATCTAGACGAAAGCAAGCAGCGGAACATCATTAGTCACATATTTTCTGATTATTGCATAATATGATAATGCATAATAATTGTATAAAATGAAGTAATAGTATAATAAATATACACAGTTGAATACTCGGTCAATAATTTTTGTACTTGTTAGTGAAGCTAAAGCAAACTTACCTTGGAGTCAATAGTTTCGCAGAAGGGGTTTGAAATTAAAGATGTAGACATAAGCTAAAAGAATCATTGACGTTCACTTTTTTTCAAAAACCAACATGATATAAAAAATTTGTACTTTATTAATGTCAATTGCAATACATTGGTAAATTGTGTATAATATGTATTTTAAGTGAACTAATTTAATAATAACTGTGCTTGGCAGAAAAGACAGCACTAAACTCAACAGCAGCACTATGTGCTTATAAATAAACCATCTATGCAAAGTATTTCAAGCATTTCTAGTTCTTGAGAGCTGCTTTTTTCATAGCATTTGAGAATTTTGTTTAGTCTATCATATTGCACTTGAATATTAACTTCATTGCTTTGATACCTAAGTATTTTCTAACTTTATGACTTTATACTGCCTATTACTTCCATCCATCTACATAAGAAATGAATTATTTTGAGATCAATTAAATGACATTTATATTTAGTTTAAATAAAAAAAAAACCTACCTCAAATAAGTATGTTGACTCTCAGCTCGGAAGAAATAAATATGATTTTTAAAAGTCAATTTGAAAACATAATCCTTATTTATTTCATCTTGTGCAGAAGGAGGTCCGATTTGATACCTATAAATTAATAGCAATAAAAATTATAAAATATAGAACAAATATTTTCTAATATTTACCCTAGCAGCGGCAAAGAGGCCAGCGGAGCTTCATCTTGGTATGTCTTGTAAAAATATAGACAAAAAGATGTGAAAACAACCCATAACTTTTGCCATCCTGTACTATTTTTGAACTTTCTCAGTAAATATCCAGACATCTGATTCTATAAGAGAAAAAAAGCTAGTCACCAAAGCATCTCTTGCATAAGTTAGACTATAGCGTTACACACTTCTGCTTGAATTATTTGATCTTGTAAAGTAATAGTAGTAGCTCTATGCCAACAGACATGCAAAGAAGTATTATTGCGTTGAGAAGATACATTTGAAACAGATAAATCTAATCCACATAAATCCATGATTTCCTCTGAAGAACCTTTAATAAGATAAAATGATCAATAATAATATAAAATAAAAAAATATTTCAGTCATAAGAAGTAGATTGATTCTTACTGCAACTTTTTAAGCTTAAATAATTAGCTTTGGAATTGCCATGATTTTTTGCATTCTGGACAGCCTCGGTGATATCATGAATCCATTTCAATTTTTCTGATTCACTGTTAGAATTTACAGTAAGAGATTTTGTTCCACCTAGAAATTATTACTAAGGTATATATACTGTGAATTTATGGACATATATATATATATATATATATATATATATATATATATATATATATATATATATACGATATGTCCATAAATTCACAGTTTCAAAAACCCACATAAATATTTTATGTAAGGCATAACTTATTTTTATATTACATTTTCAATGAATAATGTATGCTTTTGGGTATCTACTTTGGCTTCTCAAAATTAATTAAACATGCTGTCGCATTAAGAAAAAAATCACAATTTCATTAAAAAAAAAGACTTATTCACTATACGCCTACCTCTGTATATTTGGAGTCCAAAACATGTGTTAGAAAAATTAATAAAATATAATAAAAACCTCCCAAATTTTCTTAGAACCTTTAAAAATACCCTTTAGATATTAATGAGTTAAAAAATTAAATAGGTTTGATATAATAATGTAATAAAGAATATTTAAAACCTCTATTTATAAAATGTTTTATGCACATAGAAAAAAATTTTAATTTTCAAACTTTTGAAGAACTTACCAAATATCACAAACGAACTCGGATCATCTCCATCTTTTAACAACAAGGCTCTAAGTGGTATATGTCCATGAATTTTAAATGTTTGAAGTTTAGGATTTTTTGACGCAAAAAGCATTATATCTGAAAACTATTTAATTTCCCATTCAAATATTAACTATGACATATTTTTTAATTGATCATTGACAGTTACCAAGAAGAAGATTCTTTGCTGTAATCCTCCATGTGTTGAATGCTTTAAAAGACATCCTATTCTAATTAATTGCCTATCCTCTTGAACCAAGTTATCAAATCCTAAAATTCAAAATGATATATTTTGTTTACAAAATTATAATATTATTTAAATATTCAATAATATTGCGACTCTTAATAGTACATAAATTTCTATATATAATACATTGAGGCAGATATTGTCAACTTACCTACTATATCACGTTGAAACTCACAAAGTTGGACAAAATTTTCAGATCCTGGAAAAACATCTTTAATATCTTTTGCAATTTGCAACAGATTTGTATTTACATTTTCACAATTATCACGATCTAAGTGATTTGTGGGGTATATATCCAATAGACGGTCTATCAATAATTTATAGTGAAGAATTCTTTGCAGCGGTTTCAGTAAGAATGCGGTAAATGGAAGATAACATACTTTCTGGAGTTCAAAATCACGATAAAACTGTTGAAATTGTGCATCTGACCAAAATGAATCTTCCAATTTTTGCAGCACGATAAAATGTGATTCCAAGTAATCTTCATATAACTGAAAATGTGTTGTGATTAGTAGAAATATTGAAAACATATCTTAGTGTAATGTAATGAAATATATTTAATAACTTTAGTCATGTATATTTTAAATGAAAATTAAATATTATTTAAACATTTGGTCTTTGGTTTAGAGTTTATAATAATAATTTACCGGTTGAAGAATAGCAAGATGTTTAAGAAGTATGTCACATATTCGATGGTGATGGTGTGAGGAAGCTGCTGCAGATCTACTTTCCCATTGGGCAAGCCTTTGTTCTATGTCGTGTAGAAGGATTCCATGATAAGCACACAAAGCTTCGCCCAAAGCTGATAGTGTTGCAAAGTGAGGTTCATTAAGCAGATTTAATGATGAATTTGATTCATCTAATGAGCGATATTTACGAAACCACTAAAAAGTATGTGATATTTAAAAAATAAACAATGATATTTCTCATTAGGAAATACTAAAATTTAAAATAAATATTATCCAAAAGAAAAAATATTAGGTATATTTTTTAATTTAAATCTAGTGTAAATTAACGAATCGTCTAATAAAAAATTAAAGTTTTATTTGTAATTACTATATAAAAATCTTGATACTTGAGTCTTAAAATAATTAAAATAATGACTATTATGCAATGCAACAACAGTATTTATACATCGAATATTATATCTAAACATATACTTCTTCAATGCAATAAATAGTATCAAAAACAAAATTACCATTGTAATTACATCTAAATCATTTTTGTAGGTCCTTTCAGTCATCAACATTTCTTTGGCAATATAATATGATTTTCCGGATGGCCATTTCTATAAATAAAAATGATATTTATTTGATTTTTATTCTTGTGATAAAATAATTTAAACAATTCTGACCTTCTTTTTCACTTCGGCGTCACTGTTAACTGATGCATCACTGTTGGTCTTAGTGCCATTGCTTTTAATTTTAACATCAGTCTTCTCATTGATATTTGAAACTATACAGTTTTTTTTAAAAGTTTTGTTATCCAATGAATTTTCTTTGTCAGAAATCGAATTCTTCTCAGTATTACTATACATACTGGTAGATTGATTAACAATGTAGCTGTTATTATTGTCCAATTGAGTTTGATTCTCAATAAGCGCTACTCCTGTGAAAATAAATATTGAATACATTAATACACTTGGGTTATATGCTTAGGTGAATGAGCTGAAAACACTTACTTGACTTAAAAAACAAATCCTTAAAAATGTAGGCATTTAATATAAGAAAAGCATTAAAAATATTGGCAATATTTGTATATTCTAATTTATTTAATTCTATATACCTCGTTTTCCCCGAAATGCTATTGAATGTGTTCAATGTAAATTGAAACAAAAAATAAGTTAAAAAATTATGTGTTTTTGAATTTATTATTTATTACCAATAATTAAGAAATAATGTGTATACAAATCAAGTTTTAAAGTCCATATATATATTCTTTAAATTTCTTATTTTTCTACGTATAATTTATATTATATAGATAAGACTAACAATACAAATTGTCTAAAATGAGTTTAAGATGGTTAAATACTACAAATTTTGTAATATTTAAATATATAAATTATTTGGCAACTGGTGTGGAAGATGTCAATATAAAATTTTAAATTTGAGAATTTAAAGTACATTAGTAGAATTAAACTAATTATTGCATCCCTCTTTTAAAAATGATCACAAATTCATTACTCCGGGTAGAGCAAACAGTTAAATATATGAATAAACTGTTTGTGTTCATTTTGGCACATTTGCTAGAAATATTTTATTTTCATCGATCACTCACAACAAAATACCCAGGAATAATAATTTCCCAACTAATTATCATTATTATCAAATATGATCAATAAATTAATAATTCTCTGTATCACATAACATTTTGTACTGAAATATCAATTAAAAGTAAATCTTTGGTACATAATATCACCGTATTTATATGTAACGAAGAACTTTATAACAAAAATATTGCCAAATAAAGTTTTATAAAATAATTTGTACCTCTACTTATATTTGATTTAAATTTGAAATTTCGACAATAAACTATCTTGTTTTAATAAAATTGTTTAATAATATTACATAAATTTATCTCGCAAATAAGCTTTAATTGGCACAAATGGTAAATCAATTGATATGTAAAGAAACTATTTTCAGTCTAAGCTAATAAAAGTAAACAACCAAGTCAATAGGCCATTCGCGTATTTAAAAACGAATAAAAGATCTTAATTCGACAGAGACGACAATCGAACGATATTATGAGTCAATTTTAAAATTATATTTTATATTGCTTCAGTTTATCAATTATTCAAATTTGAATAGTTCTATTAAGAACATGTAACGCAAATATTAGTATTCGAATGTATACATTTATTATAGTATATTTACATCAGCAGAACGAACGTATTTTAAAGTAACTACCAAATAAACTTTATTTTATTTTCCTAATATATTTCTCTAACTCTCTAACAATAATTTATCGACTTAATTCCGTTAATAATTTTAAATATACTTTTCTCTCTTCATAATTTTACATTTTTGGTTAAAATAAAGAGTCGATTACGTGTGACAACTTCATAAACTTTCGTTTAAAAAAATCTTAATCTGTGAAAACTTGCGCATCACATAACAATAACCCTGCACATAACGTTTATCATATCATGAAGCCTAATAGCGTTTAATCGGGTTCTCATTAATATCGACACAAAATTACTTAGAATAGAAATAAAACGAGAAATAGAAATAATGTGAAATTTATGAATGATATTTCATTTATTGTATTGAAGAGCAAACACTTTTGACTTAAACGACGAACAAAACTTTTAAGACGTCTATCTTCTACGAGTATCAAACATTGATTTTATCTAACTTATATTATTAAGAAATTAAATCAATTTCAATACAATTTTCATGAAATACTCTAAAAAGTAACATTAAAAAAATATAATAAATAGTTTTTTGGATAATCGACTAGATGAACGACTAGATGGATAATTAAAAAGTAACTGATTAATCTTATTCTAATTTATAAATAAAAATTTCGCAGAAAATTTCCCGATAGCCAAACGTTTATCCTTAAGAAAATCAGTCTTAGTTGAGCTCAAAATAAATATTTTCATTTATATTTTCATCAGAACGTCAAAACGAAGAACTATTCTTGCATAAAACATTCAATATTAAATTGATATTGGAGAATATTCGTAAGAACTATATATATATATATATATATATATATATATATATATATATATATATCACACACATTCAACATAATGCTTATTGAAATTCATCGCTAAATTCGTCATTGTCATTTGGATTAAATAGTGGAGGTGGTAAAGAGGATAAATCAAAAGGTTCAGAGGAGTCTAAACCAGAGCATTCAATGTTGGAAGCAAAATAGGAGTCTCTAGCAGCGCCGGGCGCAAAATGATGACTGAAACTATCTTCACTAGAACCACAAAGATCATCTGACAAACCAGCGCCTTGGGCATCACTTGTATATTCAATGTGCGGGTATCCAGACCCAACAGCAACTGAATCTTCTCGTTTATATTGACGTTTTTTAGAACTTCTTGGTGGCTTAGCATCCAACTTTGCATAACCCAATGAACGTAACCGGTCATAGCGTGGGAATCCCATCTCATCCACGTTTGAAGTCGACATGTCAAGTTCTTCAAACCCACCATTGTTATAATTAGGATAATATTCTTTTTGTTGATAATCATTATCTACTTCTTGCTCTTCGTCAAAATCTGGATATTGAAGCCTATCGGCAAAATCTGACGATCCTGATTCAATTTCTGGGAAATATTCTTCTGAGCTTTCCATTTCTCGTCGGTTTGTCGTGGATATCCTCTCCGCGCGCCTGCGAGGTGGTGGTTGCCGTCTTCGTCTATAACCTCGGCGAACGGGGTCTCTTGTTTTCTGTTGTATGAAATCTAAAGAGCTATCGGTATCGTTGCCGCTTGGAGGGCTTTTAGGCAGAAAATTTCTAGGCATAACAGTTTTTCTAGGTGGTTTTGCAATTGGATTCATGACTTGAATCGGGGGCGACTCTGAACTTAAACTACTAGAATAATAAGATGAGTTTTTAGAAAGCCTACCCGGTCTATCAGGCATGATACTTGAGCAAGCTGAAGACGAATCCTTGCTCTGAGAAATATTTTTTTGTATTGGTTCTTTTTGACATATCATATGTTCATGGAAAGAATGACTTTTAGATATGCTTTTTGCATTTTGGTATTCGCGAATTTGATTTTTGGACAATGTTTTATCATCGTAACTGTGATGCTTTATTAAAGGTTTCTCACATGTTTCAACAACTCTAGAAAAGGTCACACTGTTATCTACACTAGCTGATTTTATATTGAATTTATGGACAAGCTCTTGACTTTGGCATTTCGAATTAGCATTATTTTGCTCAGAATACAACATTTCGTTAAATATATTATTTGTTTCATGCTTTGTGTTATATTTCACAATTTTATCTAAAGGTTTCTTGCTTAGAGGTGGTTTTTCCCGCGCATCTAGTGGTATCTTAACTGGTCGTTCAGTTGATTTCGTTTCCTTATTATCAAAATCTTCAGTAGAATCATATATTTTCTTTTTCGCGACTTCTTCTGATGGTATATCAAGTGAAATCTGATTCTTTTTTAATTTCTCTAGTGTAGTTAATTTTTCATAACGAATTTCTAATTTATCAGATATTGAATCATCCATAGGTAGATATTTTGAAAAATTATCTGTTAATAGATTGGGATCGTCAAATGGAACTAAAGTGTCTGTTGTACTACTTGACCATTCTGATAATGTATGGACTATTTCAGTAAGAGTAGACGTAGTGTCGTCACTTTTAGTACCAGAGCTAATAAGCTCGGTAGTGTCAGAATTGGTTAAAGGATCATATCGTATATCTTCAGGCAAATTCTCAATTGACAATCGACTTTTACTCCCTGATAAGCTCTCGCTTGATTTGAAACCGCTGGAACTAAGAATAGAAGATGTAATGTTACCAGATGATTTTTCACTTTTATTACCTGATATACTTTCCGATGCTGAAAGGTTTGTATACTGTCGAACTGTATTTGTGCCAGTGGACCATTCTGAAATGCTCAATCCAATAGAAGTATCTTCAGAATGAGAACTATGAGTACATTTTTTGGGTTGAAGGCCCATTTTAACAGTTCCATCTATATCTGTACCAAATGAACTAGTCTCTTCTTCAGAATGGCTACTATGGCTATATTTTTTGCATGACCCTGTACTAGAACATGACTCTCTCGTTCGTAAAACATTTTCCTCAGTAAATGGTGTAAATATATCATCAGTAGATGTGTCAGAATTATTAGAACCGTGTGAGAATTTGACCGATTGATTTCTCCGATCACCATCCCCGCTATCTAAAGAAATTTCAATTTTTACAGTCCCTGGGTGGAATACATCATCAATTATCTCTTCCAAAAGAGGACTTTGATTTTGGGATTTGGTTGGTTGAGCCACAATTACCTTATCACCAGAATCTAAAGTATATTGCTGTGATATGTTATTTCCAGAAGAGCAACAAATTGTTGTAGTAAATGTGGACTTAAAACAAGTAGCTGAACTTAACGTGGCTCCTAAACAGCTTGAATTTTGTTCTGAAAATGATTGAATATTATGGTCATCCTTAGGCATAAAATATGAAGCCTCTTCATATGGGAGTACTTTCGAAATAATAGGCGATGTAGATATCTTAAGTTCGGTGCAAGGAGAAACTGCTGAAACATCAGAGTCTTTAGAAATTCCTGTAGAGTGATCATCATAAGTTATATCTTCATTAACATCGGAATCTCTGCTATGATCATCAGAGACATGTTCCGTGAAAGAATCCACTGTTACCTGCAATACAGATCCAGGTCTTTCAACATAAAATGCTTCAACATTTTCTACTATAGGTGCGTCTAATGCGCTAGAAGGCGGAGAAGGCCAAATATCAGATTCCTGAGACCGAATCGAATTATTTCTCCAATTGAAAGCTTTCAGAATAGGTTTCTCTTTTGCACCATGAACTTCAAACTGATCATCCGCTTCTTCCTGCTCTAGATAAACTTCATCAGCATCTTTTGGAATTTCAGGCAAAGGCCA